CCTGCTGAGGAGCATCGTGGGAGAGAGGGAGGGAGGGAGGGAGGGAACTTAAGAGTGACCAAAAGCCCCAGGACAGACTCAGTCTCTGCTCCCAGAATCCCCCCCAGCGGCGGAGAATGTGGTTAAGCGGTGGGTGAAACGTACAATCCACAGGAGTGACAACTGCAAAACAAGGTCGTCACCCCTCATTTTCTTGGGGAGACTTTTCTTTCTTTTGATCAGTCTCACAGGGGCCAGACTGGTTGGCAGCTACAACCCCATAAACTTGTCTTATTTCTCATTCACCTGTCATCCTCTAATTCCACCTCTGAGCTCAGGCCACCTTCCTAATGGGGGGTTTCTTTGTGAGGTGTTTGCGCTCATCAGATGATTCCCCCGCAACTGACCTTGTCACTCAAAAGCCGCACGTCATTTCAAAACAGGTTTGCAGCTCAGAAGAAACAAAGGGCAGAAGTAAATTTGATTCTTGTGCATTTTAATTATCTCCCCAGGCACTTCGGCTCTCATTAAATTGCCTTCAGTCTTTGAATGTGACATTTAAACGAAGCAGCCCACACTTCTTTCCTGCAGGTTCTGGTTTTCTAACCAGCAGTACTTGTCACTCCTGACCTTCTAACCCCGCTCCACATTGGAGTAGGGGTGGTCCTGAGGGGTTCGAGGGGTCTGTCAATCGAAGTAGGTAAGCGCTGGTGTCTGCAGGAGGTTGCCTTGGCGGCAGCAGGTGCAGAAGGATCCAGACTCTGCCTTGCCTGCCCCGGAGGAGGGCTGGGCACACGCTGAAGCACCTTTAAAGTTAAAGCGCTGTCGAGGCATTGAATGAGCGTTGAGAGCCTTTGTCGTACGTGGCATTATCGCAAAGGGTTTCTCAGCAACCCTAGTGGGAGTTTACAGAGGACAGGACCTCAGACAGACAGGTAAGTGACTGCCAAACAGTTAAAACAAGACCACAGGAAAGCCAAGTCATTCTCAACATCCACTTCTTTTCCTTCCAAGTCAGAGTCTTGTAAAACAGGACCACGGGCAAACCAAAAACCATTCTCTGTACTTTCCTAATGGCCCTAGAGAGCAGATGGGTCCAAGGAAGTGTAAGTGACACTGCCCAGCACAAGGCAACCCCTTGCTCAGAACTATGTAACTATCTATTATTTGCCTGTGAAACCTTTGTTTCTTTGGTTGAATAGATAACTGTTATCTCACAGTAACCCGTGGTCCTATTTGACTAATAGGATCATTAGTTTTAAAACCTTTTGCTATTTTTAAATTTCCCCAAATCAAATTCCAAATGAAGTCTTTTTTTGACCTCAAACTAACTTGGGATTTTGTAAAAGGCTCCTAGAATATCTCAAAAGATTTTTCTCTCTCCTTATAAAATGGGAGATGTTACACTAATCAGGCTCATCTGATATGTTAAAATACATAGGAAGTATTGTCAAATCAGAAGTAATACTAAGCTTTCTTTATGTTGTATTAGTGTAAGTATATGTTCTAAGCATTCTAGAAGTTATCTGAAATTCCTAAAGTCTAGTATGTCCTGGTATAATGTTATAAAATGCTGCATGTTAAAGGAATGACCAAATTTCCTCGTCAATTCTATTATAATAAAAACTCTCTCCAGATCTTCAATTTATAGTTACTGTTTTACTCTGAAGGTTTATCAACATGTTCCTGCAAAGTGCTTTATCTTCAAGGAGATTCATGGAGGGGACCTTTGACAAATGCACCATCCTGATGACTCTGCGATCAGGTAGCATAGTTGGATGGGAATTTCCAGAACTAATTAAGATAACATTTAAAAAGCTGGATTAAAAAGGACAAGAATTAATGACATGGGACTGAATGAACTGAGGAGGATGACTATAATTTTTATCCAAATTCTGGACTAAAAGGAGAAGCACCTGACATTGATGGAGACCATTTCTTCCCAAGATGCCAGACCAAGACTTTCTACTTCAGCTAAACATGAAACCTTACTTCTTTTTTTTAAAAAAAATATATATTTTTATTGATTTCAGAGAGGAAGGGAGAGGGAGAGAAAGAAAGAAACATCAATGATGAGAGAGAACCATTGATCAGCTGTCTCCTGCACACCCCACACTGGGGATTGAGCCCGAAACCCAGGCATGTGCCCTGACCGGAATCGAAACCTGACCTCCTGGTTCATAGGTCGACGCTCAACCACTTTATTTTCTTCTTTTTTTTCTTTACTCTGTCATTGGCCAAAGTAAAAGATAATGCCATCACCTGTATGCCGCACCCTTGGGAAGGTGGATAACCTCTGGAATTCAGAAAACTATTTATTGCAGGCTAGGAGGAAACCTAACTAATTCCTGGTTTGAATGAGCAAACGCAACAATTCCTGCAAATGAATCCATTAATAATGCCACCTTCGTGGAAGTGGATTGTGCCTAATAGGATTTACCCTAAAAAACTGTGAGCCCGAAGTTGTAAACAAAACAAAACAAAAAAATTAAAACCAAAAAGGATCAATGAAAATTTCTAGAACTAGTACAGAGCGGTAGCTGAGAGTGGCGCTGATGCCTTAAATTTTGATCACATCTCTCAGACGAAAAATTTGATCAAAAGGAAGGAATTGTTAAAAAGAAACAATAAACAATAGGCCCAAAATGGAGTCACTTTTGCTAAGCCCCACCAAGACTTAATACTTAATCTAATTGCAACTGTAGCCTCTCCCAAGAATAGAATTTTAACCCTATCAGTCTGGGATTTCTGGTCAACCCTAGTGAGGTCATCTGCCGGATAAGACCCCCTGCCTGCCCTTAAAGCAGTGGTTCTCAACCTTCCTAATGCCGCGACCCTTTAATACAGTTCCTCATGTTGTGGTGACCCCCAGCCATAAAATTATTTTTGTTGCTACTTCATAACTGTAATTTTGCTACTGTTATGAATCATAATGTAAATAACTGATATGCAGGATGTATTTTCATTGTTACAAATTGAACATAATTAAAGCATAGTGATTAATCACAAAAACAATATGTAATTATATATGTGTTTTCCGATGGTCTTAGGCGACCCCTGTGAAAGGGTCGTTCGACCCCCAAAGGGGTCGTGACCCACAGGTTGAGAACCGCTGCCTTAAGAGAAGGTGACCTTGCCTGAAATAATCCACTGTTTTAACTTCCTTGTCTCACCCAGTTTCTGCCTATAAAAACCTTCCATTTTATACAGTTCCTTGGAGCACCTTTCTATTTACTAGATGGGATGCTGCCCGATGCATGAATTGTTGAATCAAGCTATTAATTTTACTTGGTTAAATTTTTGTTCTTTAACACATTGCTATGGCGACTGGGGTTTCTTCCAGGCCTATGATTCTTAAATGAGAAAATTTTAGTTCCTTCAGGCTCGTTTCTATGGGGTGTGGGTGTCCCTGCTACAGTCAACAGCTTCTGCCTACATACTAACTAACCTTTGCATTGGATCCTGTTCATCTCATGTGAGCCTTTCAACAAATGGGGCGATAAAACTATTGTTTTTGTCATCCTGTTTTAGAGAAGAGTAACCTGGAGGCTCAGTCATGGCCAGTGGCTTGTTCAAGATCATTCAGCCCGCAGGTGAGGCAGAGGCACTATGAACTTGGTTGCTGACGCCAAAGACCGTGCTTCTCACTCACCTGCACAGGCCTGAGGCAGAGAGATACAATGCCCACGCTTCACTCTCATGCCCTGCTCACTTCTCATGCCTGCTGACGTGCCCTCTGTGTTTAGGAACACAGACTGGAGCCAGACTGCCAAGTCCAGCTGTGTAATCTTGGCAGATGACTCTGGCTCTATCCCGTTCTGTCATCTGTAAATTGGGATGGTGATTCCTACCTCCTAGGGCTAGTCTGAGGGTCAAATGAGTTAATATGTCAAACTCCCAGACCATAGTAAACACCATATACATGGGAGCGCCTCTTACCTGCTGAACCTCTTATTCATTTAGGGAGTTAAAACTGTAACCAAGGAGAGTCAACCATCCCCCGAGGACCTGGAGGACGTCTACCTCGCATGGCAGGTGGCCAGTGCGATGCCAGAACAAAGCAGTGGTCGTGGAAAAGCGCCTCACAGCCTCGGATACCTTGACGTTCAAAGGCAAGTGTCACAGCTGCGTCTCTCTGTGGTCAAGTCCCTACTCCTGATGTCAACCCAGAGGCGCATGAGCTGACAGAACCACTGGAAACAGCCTGACTATATAAAGTCTGTTCAGAAAGACTATAATTTTTAAAACAACAACAACAACAAAAAACAACTAACAGCACCAGGTTTCTCCTTTTCCTGATAGGAATCATTAATAGAAGGAAAAAGTTTCCCCCTAAAATTTAAATTCTGTGAGCAACTCAACACCTTTAAAAAGGCATTTAATATTTTGGGGCCTCTGAAAGGTACTTTAAAGTGGCAGGAGACCGCAGTGAAACAGTGGAGAAAGTTGTGAGTTTCAGCAAGCTAAAATGAAACTGCTTTTTTTTTTCCTTTAAAAACCCACATCTGAGGGCTGCGAACCATGCGCAGAGCGTCCTGCTATTCTGCTTCTGGGCCCGAGGGAGGCCTCACCGCCACCGTGTAACAGTTCCTGCCGCACACACTGGCACTCCCCTTTGCTTCCCCAAACTCTGGAGCGGAGCCTCCTTCTTTCACGTGTTTAAGTAAATGGAGAATTTCAGAGTTTCCCTGAAGAAGCCTACGGAAGATACTTCAGAGCGATAGGGAGAAAAGGAGTCCCACAGTATAAAATTATGGGCACCAGGGGAGAGCGACAGCTTGGCAGCACTTCTTGGAAAATTGGGTTCCAAACAGCCAATCCCAAGCAGGGCACTGCTTGTGGGCTTGGTTGTTGCCCACAAGCCTGAGCAACAGCGCTCAGAAATGGACCTAAGGCACGAGGCTGGGCAGCCGCTGGTCCTGAGAGCGGGACTCAGAGCCTGGGCTGAGGCCTCGAGCAGGTGGAAAAGGTTCGCAAGAGCCTTCTGTCCCGCCCGGCGGGTCACAGACACTGGTACTCACCTGGACTTCGGAGGTGGCGGAGGAGGTGAGAAGGTCTCAATCCCATGTCTGTCCTTGGGGAACTCAAAGGCAAAAGAGGCCGATTTGCTCATCCCGGTCCCCGCTTTGTCGTTCTGCCCCGAGGCGCCGTCGGTGGGGCAGAGATGGTGCCAGGTAGAGGAGCTGGAGGGGTCCTTGGTGCCCTTCGCCATCGTCTCTCCTCCCCAGCTTTGACTCAGCAGGTTCTGCTCCACCTCCTCCTCTTCCTCTATCCGGCACTGACGGCTCCAGGCCCCAGTCTGGTACCGGGGCCGCCTCTGGTCTGCGGCCGAGGCAGTGGTGGCAGGTGGGGGACACTTGGCAGAGTCGTGGTTGGCGACACCGTTGGCCCGGCAGGAAGAAGCGGGGTTGGCAGGGCACCGGGACGAAGGCTGGGGCCCGGTGCTGCCACCTGAGCTCCCTTCACTGAGGTCAGACAGTGGGGAAGGGGAGGGTGACACCGGGGACCCTCCAGGGCTCCCCTTGGACAGCTTGGGAGGAATGGCAGGCCTCCCCTTGGGGACGTTCTGGCTCGAAGCATGGTGGTGGCCTTCCCTGGAGCCCTTCCCCTGCCCAGCTGACGTCTCCTGGTCGCCTGCTCCAGAGTCCTGGCCCACCAACGGGCGTAGCCACTGCACGCCCACCGCAGAGTCCGGGCTGCTCAGGTAGATGGTCCGGTGGTCCTCCTTCGGGGAGGCCGCCATGATGGTGATGGTGGCCGCCACCTTGGGGCCCACGTCGGGGCCTTCCCTGTCCCGGCTACCACCAGATGCTGTTTTCTGAGTCCAGGTGCTAACCATCCTGCCCTGGCCGGGGCCAGCTGCTGGCTGCTCCGCCTTGCCCTGTGGCCTAGAGGGCACCGGGACAGCCTTCTTCCTCTTGGTGCTCTCGGCATAGATGGGTTCGGGCTGCACAGCCTCCCTGGGGTGGGTGGGGGGCTGGGGCTCCCCAGTCGGCCCAAGGCACCTGTTAGAGGCCACCCCGTGGCAGCTGGAGTCCTGCTGCTTTCCCGGCACAGGCTCCTTCACGAGGGAGCAGTAATCGCTCTCGAGATGGGGGACGCAGGGGCTGCTGGCGCCGCTGCTGGCACTGCCGCAGGACAGGCCGTCCGAGGAGCTGGCCGCCTCCGAGGGAGGGGACAGCTTCCGGGGGCCCGGGTGGGGCGGGTGGTCTGAGGGGCCCTGGCCACAGCACTCCCTCGGGAAGCCGAGCACCTGCTTCAAGTCCCCAGCCGGCCCCCCACACGTTCCCTGCTCCCAGCACGTGGGGGAGCGGTCCCCGCCGCCGGGTCTGTGTCGGGGCCCCTCGCCCTGGGAGGTGTCTTTGGCAGCGGGGCTCCTGGGACAACAGTCCAGGATGGAGCAATATTCTCCCCCTTCGCTGTCCCCGGAGGGCGAGCACCTCTGATCGCTGTCGTCCTCAGAGGGCAGGGACTCCCGTGGGGGCTGTGGAGAGGGGTGGGTCCCAGGGTCCTTGGCACAGCCGGGTGCCGTCCTGCTGCCCACGCCAGCGAGCTTCCGGTGGCGGCTCTCCTGGGCAGAGGTCAGCTCTTGGTGGGGAAACATGGGTTTTTCTTCTCGCCCAGCCTTCTCTTCGGGGAAATTCAGCGGGTGGAAGGCGGTGCTCCGCTCCCCCCGGGCCCCGGGGCTGTGCAGGCCGACCATGGCATACACCGGCGGGCAGCGAGGGTGGCCATCTGCGGGGGCAGCCGGGACCGCAGGCTTCTGGACGCCTCGGAAGCTGCCCAGGCAAACCATCGGCGCGTCTTCCTGCTTCGGGAAGGGCAGCTTGCTGGGGGCCCATCTCCAGATGTCCTACACAGCCCCAAGGTGAAAACCGACATTAGACCTCACCAGAGAGAAAGGGAGAGAGAAACCGTGAGAGGGATGTGCCATGACCTTGCAGGGCAGAGGCTGGGCAGCGCGCCTACCTCCCAATCTGCCCGCAGCCCCCCATCGTTGCTGGGGCCCCATGCAGCCACTGGTCTTCCCAGACACTGAGCTGCCCCGCCCACTTTGGTCTGTCATTCTTTGGGCTTAGGTCTGTGAAGCAGGGGAAAAATATCACTCTAAAAAAGAACATTCTGCCTTTCCACTAGAAACTGCCGGGTGAGGTTAGTTCTCCTATGGGCTTTGAAAATAGAGTTTTGGATTTTGTTTAGTTTTTTGTGCTTGTTAATCTTTTGATAACCATGCCATGTGACATTCCTAAAGAAGCCAAAGTTATAAGGCTTTTCAAAACACCTTGGGTGAGTGGCGGGGGCAGGGGCAGGAAGGTGCTTTCTGGGATGACTCGTGTCCAAGAGCTGCCAGTTATAGGCAGCGACCTCAGCCGGGGCCTGCCCAGGTGGCTGGAGTACTTGAACTGGGAAGGCGAACTGGTCATTCTCACCACTGAAGTCACTGTCCCCTCCTTCTCTATTTCTAAAGTTCCCCGGACCCCCACTTTTAGCATCAGCTTCAGAGTAGGCCCTGCTCTTTTCCAAGATGATTCTGAACAGAAAGCGTCCCTGGCTTATGTCTGTGAAGGGTGACCTGGTGAGTGGACATGACCAGCTTGCCAAAAATGGAGCGGCCCTGCGGGGACAGGGAGCTCGGTGCCACCAGAGGAGATGCCTTTACACAACTGAGCCTCCCTCCCTGGGCCTACCTCTGACCTCTGACTTCCCAGAAGCTCCCACACCCTTCCCGGTCCCCTCACTAGGATGTTTTGGGAAAACTAAAACAGGCAAAGAGGTCACAGAGTTCGCAAGCAGTTCTTAAGACACGTCCCAGACGTCCAGCTCCATAGACATGTCTGGAGCAGGCTGTCCTGTCCATGCCCTCTAAATAATTATGCCTTTGCAAGCACTCGCTGTGGAATGAGCAGAACGGTCTACTCTCTAGGGATGGAACTGTTTTACTTAGTGATCCTAAGTCAAAGCTGGTAAAAATCCAAGCTTCACAACTGGAAATATGAGCATTGGCTGGGGATGGGATATTAAGGAACTAGAGGCCCAGTGCACGAAATTTGTGCATGGTGTGGGTGGGGGGAACCCTCAGCCCAGTCTGCACCCTCTCCAATCCAGGACCCCTGCCTACTTGATTGCCCCTAACTGCCTCTGCCTGCCAGCCTGATCCCCCTAACTGCTCTCCCCTGCCGGCCTGATCCCCCTAACTGCCCTAACTGCTCTCCCCTGCTGGCCTGATCGCCCCTAACCGCCTCTGCCTTGGCCCCCACCACCGTGGCTTTGTCCGGAAGGACATCCAGAAGGATGTCTGGTCTAATTAGCATATTACCCTTTTATTAGTATAGATTACTACTAATATTTTTAAGTGTGATAATGGTATTGTGGTTATAGTTTTTAAAAGATTTCATTTTTTTAAAAAGATGTACCAAAGTGAGGCGATGACTGGGTTTGCTTTAAAATCATGGGAAGGGAGGGTGAGGGGTAGAGATGCCGCAAGATGGGTCATAAGTTGATGACTGTTGATACATGCTACACATTCCATGGTGGATGCATGGAATTCATCAGGCAATATTCTCCTTGTGTACACATTTAAAATGATCAATTAAGCCCTAGCTGGTTTTGCTCAGTGGATAGAGCGTCAGCCTGTGGACTCAAGGTCCCAGGTTCGATTCCGGCCAAAGGCACATGCCTGGGTTGCAGGCTGGATCCCCAGTAGGGGCGTGCAGGAGGCAGCCAATCAATGATTCTCTCTCATCATTGATGTTTCTATCTCTCTCTCCCTCTCCCTTCCTCTCTGAAGTCAATAAATATATTTTTAAAAAAAGAAAGAAAGAAAGAAACAGATGGGAAGGAGGGCAGCAGTCAGGAAGGAGTGGCCTTGGGACAAGCTGACGGGGAGTCATCCTGCGGGAGTCTTGCTCTAATAGCCCTTCCTGGCTGCCAGCCAGTCAGCAAGCGTTACCACAGGAGCAGGCCCTGTAAAAATGCCACAGGGGTGAGTCAGGCTCACCTGCGAGGCGTTGGGGCTCATGTTCGCCTCCGTACACACGTCAGAGGCATCGGAGCTCAGCATGGTGGGCTTCACGGCGATGGTGGGCTTGGAGTAGGGCGAGCTGTTCACACCCTCATCTTCCAGGCGGCAGTGCTCAGGCCTGGGGGGCAGGCGAGGAGGAGGCAGGCCGCCTGCTCTGGGCTGGGGACAGGTGGGCGACAGCTGATGGTCGCCCCGCAGGCAGAAGCAGTTCTTGCAAGACCCGGGCTTCCAGATGTGCTCCACAAAGTCACTGCACGCAGACATCTTCAGGCTCTCGGGGTTCAGGCGGAGGGTCTGGTGTATCTTGGGCGGGCAGTGCGCGGCTGGCTCATCCTGCACCCGGCTCTCTCGCGTGGTCTTGTGGGCGGCAGACGTGGGTCACAGAGCGACTTCCTGGAAAGGAAGAACATGGGTCTGATCAAAGACCTCCCGCCAGAGGACAGGCGCGTTTCCACTGAGGGTCTGACTCTTTGGGGAGAAGAGGGGGAGGAAGGAGAAAAGGGGGAGAAAAAAGCTGACCATTAGTATTCCATTTATTCCCAGGCCCTCGCGCGTTTCTCATAAGGCTCTTAGTCACTCTCTCGTGATGTGGCCTTATCAGAAGCTGTAAAAACTAAGCGCGACTCTGTACGTGAGTAGAGAGCATAGTGACGTTTCCGCCCCTGACAGTCCTGAGCACCTGGAGGTTGGGGGCAGTCAAGCAGAAGAAATCCCATAGAGGAGAAGCCCGTTAGCTCATCCAGGCATCCCTGCCGCTAGGGGTCCAGAGCAAATAAGAACTAAGAAGCAGCACAGCAAATAAAACCGGTGGCTTCCGGGGGATAAGCCACAATGTTTAACCAACTATGTGAGTGGGGAGGCAAGTCTGGGCCCTGAGATCAGGCTCTCCTCCTTACTTGAGACCAGGCAGAGATGGACGGGGTGAGAAGCGGGAGAGCTGTGGTGTCTGCCTGCCACCCCAGGGGACCCTTGTCAGGAGGTCTGGCATCCTGGGAATTTACAGTACCTCCCTCCCCCTGCTTCATAGACATCATTCAACCCGGCGCTTGGTGAGGTCAGCCAGGCTGAAGCTGCAGGCCAAGGGGAGAACAGACAGAAATGCATAAGCACCTGTGGGCTGGGGGTGGCAGGACAGAGTCCAAGAGAGGGAGGGAGGATCACACAGTAATTTCCCCAGTGATAACCCTGGAGGTAAGGCAGCCAGAGGGCTGGGTTAGTTGCCTCTGAGAGTAAAACTGAAAGCAGAGAGTGCATCCCAGAATCGAATACATTCACCATTGAGGAGGAGCTCAAAGGGCTGCAGATAGTAACCCACTAACCTGCCAGGTAGCTTTATGCCTTTCATATAGACGGGAAAACAATGGCAACCACATAAACTAAGACCTGTTCCTAGACACAAAGTTTGGTGGTTCTGGAAAGAGAAGAACTTCGCTGGCAGAGCCTCCAAGCTATCTCCTTGGTCAGATGGGTGACGTTCAACCGGCGTTACCACAGGAGTTTTTAAAACATGAAGTACCTGCCTGTTTAGTCAGGGGCCCTGTCCTCTTTTCCCTTAGATTGTCAAATAAAAAAAATGACAGCAGCCAATACAACAATAGCCATCCGGTGTGAATGAGTCAAAATTATAGCTACTTTTTTTTTTTTCAGATCAGCAAATAACATATTTCTTGGTGTGCCGCAGAATTTTAGTAATTAGTAATTTCAATGGTTGAAATGGCTGGGTTAGACTGAAGGCTCCCTTTCCCTCATTTAAAGACAATGACCTCCTCATAAGGAAGGTTCACGAGAATCTTGAGTCTAAAGTGAACAGATTCCCATTCAATAGGAAGGGGTTTTGCCCTAAGGTTTGCTCTTCACTTTCTTCCCGTGAGAATCTGCTTTGAGGCTGATGCTCTCTCAACTATCAACAGGACTAACCAGGTGGAATGAGCCAGGTGTCCCAAAGATCATTCCAGAATCTTTGTGGGAAGCGCTATCTTTCTGATCTCCCACACTCACCGGCAGGAGTGTTTATTCAACAAGGGCTGACGCTCAGTCTGCCTCCTTCCCCTCCAAAGTTCACCTGGAAGCCCACTGCACCTTTCAGCTAAGGGAACACTCTGGAATAAAAGACAAATGCTGGTCTTTGAGCACCGGCTGTCCCGCATCCCTCCCTCTCAGATGACTGCAGGCTGGGCTCCTCTCACGGCAGGTTCATCCCTTGCCAGCTTGCCCAGAAGAGGTCACTAAGCTTCAACAAGCAGAGGAGGACGGCAAGGATTTTTCTTTCTCCTACAATCTCTGCTGCTAATTTCTAGAAGGTGGGGTGGTGGTGGAGGAAGCATTTTGGTGTTTAGCAAGTTCCCATACTCCTTCCCGGAGATGGGGAATAGGTCGTTTCCTGGGAGCTGTTGAAGGCCACCCTTCTGGCCACAGCAAAGGCAGGCCCCCCCCGCCCCCCGCCCGCCCGCCCTCCTTGGCAGAGGCTCCGGAGTCCCTGGGAGGGCTGGAGGAAGAGAGCTTGGAAACCAGTTCCCAGCCCCCCCCCACCCCCCCATGAGGCTGGGCTCCCTGAGGGGTTGGACATCCAACTACTTCCCAGGAGCAACCACAGAGCCACAGAGAGGCAGTTTCCGCAACGGGCACCTGAGAGCACAAACTTGTCTTGGTTGCCTGGTGCGGAGGTCCCCGGATCACCAACACCAGGGGAGCTTCCTTCAGGCCCCCCAGTTCAGGGCACTCTGTCCACACCCACCTGAGGCTCTGCAATTCTCTGACAAAGGCACAACTTTCACCAACAGGACTGCATCCTCTCAAAACTGGTTTCTCAGTCATGGCAAACAATGTACCACCCTGCCCAGCTGGAAAGGATTCTTTCCCGGTTCTGTCTGTCTAGAGAGGGCCTGCAAGGATCTCAGTTTGTTTTAAGTAAAAGATGGTGAAGAACTCAAGTGATACTCACAAATGGGGAGCCGCGCCTCACCTCGCCCACCAGCTCGCTCTCGCAGCCTGGGAATGGCAATGGCACCTTCCCAGCCCACATTCCTTACCTCTGAGGGGAGGCAGCCCCCAGAATTATGCAAATTCCCCCATTCCTGTGGGAGGCAGCAGTGTGAGGCTAGAAAGAGATTTCAGCATGCTTTCTGATCCAAGTCATGATAAAATATCTTTGCCTCTGCACACTTGTGCACTAGACTTGAGGGTACTATTTGAAGACTGGAGCGGTCAGATACACGCCCACCTCCTTTCCAAAAGATTACGAAGAATGCTGGCCAGATCCAGGTCCATAAACTTAAATATTCTGGCTCAAAATACTGCCCTTCAGACTTGCATCAAAAGTTGTTTATGCCTTCCCCTGAAATGACAGATTACCAGAAAACACTCATCTAAAAAATGTGCATATATTACAATTAAAGTAATGCAGCAATGGAAAAGAAAAATATGTATGAAAGGGTCTGGATTTCAAGAATCCACTGGCAAGGGTTGCCGGGGCAGAGAGGAGAGAGTGACAACCTTCACACACACACACACACACACACACACACACACACACACACACACGGTAAGTTATGATAGCCACCTAACTTTTTATTTCATTTTTTCCTTCTCCAATGCTCTGCAATCTAATCTGAGCCGTAGGAATGCATCCCGGTTAGACCCACTGCAGCCTAAACCAGTAAGAAGGACCCCGAGTTGCACAAGACCCCCAGATAAGAAAATAACTGCGGAATTCTCCAGGGCTTCCTGTCCAGATTCAGTTTCAGGAAGGGAAGGGGCTGCTACCATCATCAGTTCAGGCTGCGATCAATAAGGCCTCCGGAACCTGACTCTGGACCTGACTTACTGCAAAACTCCTCGCCGCTAGATCTCCGGCTCGGCTCTCCTGTGGGCTCTGCGCGGCTATGTGCTTGCTGGCTCGGCTCTACCTGAGAGAAATACACTTCCCCGGTTGCCGGCCCTGCCTCCATTCCCATTCGCAGGACCTGAAAGTGGAGAGATCCGTGTGTGCTGTGGTGTGGTGTGGTGTGGTGTGTGGTGTGTGGTGTGGTGTGGGGTGTGTGGTGTGTGGTGTGTCCTGGCTGGGGAAGGGGCAGCAGAGGCAAGGGTGAAGAACGTGCCCAGGGCATGCCTTTCAGAGGCTGAGCCATAGCTCAGGGAAGAGGCATCATTCAGTCCCTCTGCACACTCCATGTAACCCGGAGCCGCTCAGGGGCAGCTATGACCGTGGGGCCCCAAGCCATCACCACCGGGCTCCTGGTCCGGGCGGCCCGGGTGGCCCCTCGCTCCCCACTCCCTGGACCACACTGCCGGGGTGGAGAGGCGGTCTCCACACCAGCAATCCCAAAGCTCTTCGGTCGGGCCCCAAACCGAGCAGCGGGACCAGCAGAAGAGTCCGTTCCCCTCCCGGAACTCCAAGGAAAGTTTCCCCCGTTTTCCTGAAGGCAAAGATCAAATGAATCGACAACACCCCTCCGGCTCCCGTGCGCTCCCGGGCTCGGCGCCTCCACCGCGGGCACCAACCGAGCGCACGCGGTCCGCCGCTCCATCCTCCCCCAGCGGCCGCCTGTCACCCCAGCGGCCGCCGGCGGGGGGTCGCCCGCCCGCGATCCCGGCGCTCCCCGAAAGCTCCCTCTGCGGCCACGTCTGCCAGACAAAAAGAGGCCGAGTTCGGAGACGGCGTCCGCAGGCTCACCTCGGGGCCGCGCTCCCCCGGCCTCGCCGCCGGTCGCCGCGCCGCCAGCCGCCCGGCCGAGCGCCGCGGAGCATTGTTCGGAGAGAGCGCGCGCGGTGCGTGCCCGGCCGCGGGCGGGTGTCGTCTGCCGAGCCCGGCGGCGGGGTGGCAGCTGCGAGCCGGCTCCGCCCCCCCTCCCCGCCTCCGGTGACGCCCCGCGCCGGGCAGCAGCCGCGCCTCCGGGCTCCCACCGCCGGGAGTCCTCCGGCCCGCACGCCGCCAGCTCCCTCCCGGCGGTCTCCGGCTCGGCCGCGCGATTCCTGCCAACTCTCCACGCCCGGCCCCTCCTCCCCGCCCCTCCTCCCGCGCCCGCCCGCCGGGCTCCGCCCCAGCCCGAGACTGGGCGCCTGCTGCCCCCGCGCCAAGCCCCCGTGTGTACCCCTTCCTACCGACAGCTCTGCTCGGTTCCGCAGGGCCGAGTGTCGGCGTTTGCAGCCTTCCACGAGGTCTGCATAGGTGCCCCTCCGTCCAGTCTGCTCTGGGGGGTGGGGCGGACGGGGAGGGTACAGCACCAGCTCTGGAGTGGGGGAAACCAGAAAACGAGAGGTCGCGAGTAGCAGGAAGAGGTCAGGACCCCAGACGGGATCCCCAAGCTGCGTGAGACCCATGATCGTCAATTACCGTTTCCTTGGGAGGAGGGTGGCGCCAGACGGAGCCAGGCTGGGAATCCCGACGGCCGGCTCCTGGTCCTGCTCAGACCCTGGACTGATTCGCGGCCTCAGGCAACTTGCTTAGTCTCTACATTTGGCTTTTCTCGACGTGGAATGCAAGGGCTGGACTGAAGATAGCTGATCCTCCAGGACGCTGGGACTGTCGGGCCTTTCGCTGGCCACTATTGCACCTGTGTTTACACCGTCACCCTCAAGTGACTCATTTGCTGAGATAGAATGGGTTCGAGATAGTCGTCAGGCTAAAAGCCTTTTCACCTTCCGCCAGGCTTAGGCAGCCTTAGGCCCAGTCAGCCTCTTCCCTCCCTTCCCTGCCTTCGACAGGATCACACCTTGACCTGGGTGTGCCTCAGGCCGCCAGCGGCGGCTCAAACCTTTCTCCTGCCGGGGTTGGAGGAATGTGGTGAGATGGAACAGGAAGAAGACCCGGAAAAACACCTGCGACCTCCTCTCTGCTCCAGGCCTCCCGGGAAGACGGTGCATTGTAATTCCAATCAGGGTCCCCACCGGGCTGAGAAAGGAAGGCTGGTTCCTGCTCCTCCCTGTGATCTGGCTTGACTTAGCTGCACTTAGAGGGAGAACGAGGGAGAAGACAGGTGTTTTAGGTTTGGCTTCTGTGAAAAAAGGAAACACGTGGAAGGGACAGGGAGGATACTTCCTCATGCTCCAATGTCTCGGGTTTCTCCTGAGTATGAATAGAATTTGGGGGAAAGCGTAGGGATGGAGTGGAACTAATATTCCTTAAGTACCTACCCGGTGCCAAGCAACCCCATATGAGGGACATCATCCCCATTTTATAGACGTAAACAGATGCAAAGCCCACAGTTGGAAAGGATGGGGTTGGAACCCAGAGCTACCTGGCTCCACGGATGGGCAGTTCCACTCTGCCACAGTGCCCTCTCAGAGTCCTGGGGGTCCAGCCCAATTATCCTTTCTTTCCAAAGCGAGGGAAAACCATCTGACCAAACAGGAAAGAAAAAGTGGCTAGGCTCCATCAGCGTCCAGCAAAGCTGAAGGGTTCAGCCCATTCATCGACCAACACCCAGGAGGCAGGTGGGTACAAAGTGGTCTGTGCTGGAGACATACATGACATCAGCAGGTGCATGCAATTCAGTTACAACGTGAGAGGGCAAATCTGAATGTTTGAGATGTTCTGGGTGCCCATGATTCTCCCTCTGCGAGGCCCCAGTGGGGATGCCCACCTGACAGGAATGATTACATGGGAAGCACTCGCCTTCCTTCCCACTTTATTTTCTTCCCTTCACCTAATTTATTCTTAATATAAGAACAGGCTAAAGAATGCAGCCATAAGAAGCAAGGGCTCGCTAGTGTGACAAGATTGGTGGTTCCGTGGCAAGGAACAGCACTTGAAGGGTTAATTCGGTCTTTCTGCAAAATAAACTGTTCTCAAGTGTTTTGCTGGGCTCACACAAAATAAATGCGTTAAACTGTAGTTGCTGACATATAATGTGCATCCTTTTTATGCCAGCAACGTGGCCTTAGGATGGCTTCATCTTGCCTAATGAAAAGAATTTAAAAAAAAACACACTTCAAAAGGCTCCCTTAGATCCACATGAAATGCCCATTTTCTTAGGCAGCGCTCCACCAGTGACCGTTAAGTATGTTATCTCCTCAGTGAAGCTATGGGAAGCTCATGCATTTTAATAAACAAGCCTCGCTTGAACTTCCCAACTGCATCCTGCAATGCAGTGCAATTTGTGTATCCACAGCATCCTGCTTCTACCTGCTTATCAGTTCATTTTTCAGGACACTTTTCACTGCAGGGCTTGGGTTCCCTGATACAGATCAGATCTTGAAGAAGAGTGATTCCCTTCAGGGTTTTAGTCCCTGAGCACCATACTGTACACGAGATCAGTTAAATTTCAGGAAATAAGGACACAGGCTGGGACAGGTAGGGCTTGGGGGTGGGGAAGGTAACAAGGGCAGAATGAGGAAGTGCATAGCGTTATGTTAGGCACACTCGGCTTAACAACCACATTTCAGT